GGGGGCCCTGGGGGTACGGTCCCCCACTGACTTTGAAAATAGCAAGTAATTAATATTATTTATGATGCATTAAGTACTGGTTAAATAAAAAAAATTACTTTCCATCCTAATAGTTGTTCGCCTGTTCTCCTATCTACCTACCTATCCCGTTGCAACCCTCCGACTCCCAGCGTGCGCGCGGAACTCGACCATTCGGATGAGAGAAGACCTCTACATTTTTAAATTCTGGAATTGGTAACCCTACGCTGGACATGTACTCCTACGTCTTTCAGCCTTCAAACGAAACCAAAAGAACTGTGAAGTCGAAGACAAGGAGAAGCTCTTGCGGGATCAAAAGTTTCAAAGCTTCCTTCATAACTAGGTGCCTGCTCTCATCTATTGTTCCTCCTTCCATCTGGCCCTTCTCCGTAATTCTCTATAATCGTAAACAGATATTCCATCAAAATGAAAACTTGAATTTATGTGCTCGTTGAGTAAATTCCTTTTGGAGAAGCGTTAATTAAGGTTGAATTTTTCTGTTCTTTATTAAATCTGCTTAGCTGTAGGCATTTTCCTTCTAATTTTTTTATGGGACTATGAAACTTTTTTTTTTTATTTGTTCTTGACTTACAGGGAGTTTTATATTGATTCTCTCATGGATAAATTTAGCATGTCTCTTGAAGTTTTTATGTAGAACCTATGTAGAAATCATGAAGCAAGATGCAAGTTAAATATTGAATTCATCCTCTTTTTTTTCCTTGTGAATTCTATATGTCTTAGGTATTTCCTCTGATTTTCCCATGGGTAGAGAACATTCATTTTTCAATCCTGCCTTACACGGGAGTTATATATTGATCTTCTTATGTAGATCTTTATGCTGTTTCCCTAAATTTTTATGTAGAGCCTAGCCAAAAATCATGAAACAAGATGCCAGTTTTGTTGTTTCTCGAAATTTTTATGTAGAGCCTAGCCCTAAATCATGAAATAAGATGTCAGCTAAATTTTAGAAATAATTGATCAACTTGATAAAAATTTTAATTGTATCTGAAATTGCAATTATGTTTAATTTGAAGATATTTTAATTTAAGTTCATCTGAATCAAATTTAATAAAAGATTGTTTTCCTGTCGATCTATTTCTAGAAGTTGAGTTCAAATCGGTTCTAACCAAAAACTCGACTTTTTTTTATTCGGATCTTAAGAATATTTAGAAGGTTACTAGATTATATTTGGCGACAATGTACCTGAAGTAAATGTTGAAAAAAGGCTTGTTCTTTAATTCTAACTGACTTAATATACTTATCCTTATATAGTTGTATTCAGTCACATGCATGTTGCTATTTCTTTCTTTTAGACTTTGCGTATCTGAAAAACAAATAAATTGTTATTATAATCAATTTGTTAATATTATTTTCATTCAATTTAGTAAGAATATATAGTTGAGGGTTTTTTAATTATTTTAATGATTTGTGCCCCCACATGGACAAAATCCTAGCTCTGCCCCTGCTTATACCTTTCCAGTGTACCATTAACTATGTATTTCACAGAGAACACCCATTTGCAACCGACTGATTTTTTCCCAACTGGTAGGTCGATAATCTCCCAAATATTGTCTTTTTTAGGGCAAGCACTTCATCTTTTATGACTTTTTCTTCTAATTTTAATTTATTAGATAAGGCTTTATAAATATCATTAGGAATATGAATATTATTTAGTGTAACCAAAAAGTTTTGTGTGAAGGTGAGAAGTTATGAAAAAATACAAAGTTGGTTAAGGGGTACAAGGGAGATTTTTTGGTGAACTTGTATTTATCTCAATTTTAGGAGACGGTTCAAATCCTTTGATCTACTCTGGGGCATAATTTGGATTTGTACGTCTTGAATACACTTTCCCAAACCTCATATTATCCATAATAGATTTGGCCTTAGCTTCCCTAGCTTTGATTTCGGGTTTAGGTGGATTGGTTTAAGGTGGAGCTGAAATGTCAAGAGGGGCAAGCTCACTTTCCTCATCTTCTTCAGTTTCAATCTCCCCCTGAAGATGAGATTTGGTGAAATAAATTTTTTGTTCATCAAAAGCAACGTTAACAGATAGAAGAGTTTTCTTGGTAGAGGGATGATAACACTTATATAACTTTTTTGTTGGATTAATATCCAACAAAAATACATTTGAGTGCTCTTGGATCTAATTTTCCTCTATTTTGACTGTGAATGTGAACATAGGCAGTGCACCCAAAGATTATGGGTGTGAGGGTATTATAGGTTTGAAATTCAGAGTAAAAAGATGATTGAATATCCATTTGTGTTTTTAGCCCCAAGGTTATTGAAGGTAGTCGGTTTATGAGATATGTGGTGGTCAGAAGGGCTTCCCCCAGTAGGATTTGGGTACATTGTGGTGGAAATGTGGAATAGAAGTGCACGGGTAGAGGCTAGAAGATGGTCATTTTTTTGTATGCAACTCTATTTTGTTGTGGGTTATAAATGTGGGAAGACTCATGAATGATACCTTCCTTTTGAAAGTAAGAGGATAGAGCTTGATCAAAATAATCATTGGCATTGTTATAATGGATTTTTTTTTTTATTTTTACCCCGAATTAATTATGGATCATGGTCTGAAAAATGGGAAGGATAGTGCTCACAGCAGATTTATTTTTTAGGAGAAAGATCCAAAAGACTCGAGTACAGTCATCAATGAATGATACAAACTATCGGGCCCCTGAGATGTTACAAAATTTTTAAGGTCCCCAAATATCACTATGAATAAGGTAGAAAGGGGTATGACATCTCTCAATTTTATTTGGAAAAGAAACTCGTTTATGCTTGACTAAGTCACAAGTTTCACAATAAAGATATTCATTTTCCAACTTTTAAAAAAGTTTTGGGTACATATTTTTTAAGACATCAAAAAATGAATGTCCTAATCTAAAATGAAGTCAAATAGTATATTTTTTATTAAATAAGGATAACATAGAATAGTCGTTATTGATAATAGTGGATTTGTTCAGCTCTTCCAGATAGTACAATCAATCTCTCTTCTTAGCAAGTCCAATATTTTTTACCGATTCCTGGTCCTGAAATAAGCAACAAGTATGGTTACATAGAACTTGACAATTATAATCACTAGTAAGTTTTTGCAGTAGATAGGAACATGAAAGTATCGCTAATTTCTGGAGTCATGGAATTCCACAACCATGACATGATCATAGAGTCTGCTTCATCCCATGCCCAAAAATTAGGATGTTCTTCTTTTGGTCCTACCCCAAGGAGGTGATTCATTTTTTTTTTCCTTTCAAATAGGTTTTCACAAATTAAGACAACTTCAAATAATTCTTCCCATTTAAGCGATAGGAATGTTGTATATTTTGGAGATCTCTTCCTTGGTGCACCATAGAGTCTTCCGTTGGGTCAAAACTTTAGGAGGAATTTGCTTCAGACATTGTGGCGACAAAGGACAACGATGAAGGCTATACAAGGAGGGCAACAATAAATACTACATTGGTTATAGATAGGATAACAACAATAAGGGAAGGATGTAAATGATGGCACGAAAATACAAAAAAATTAGAATTCTGGCAGCGGCAATAAAGGCTCTGATACCATGTTAAATTCAGAGAATTGGAGAGGGAAAAAGCTTAATTTTATTGCACGAAATTGTCCCTATTTATAGATATATACAAGATATCGTAATAAAGAAACAAATAAATACAAAATAATGCATAATAGCTTTAATATAATCCTTCCTAAATCAGCCATCTAAATATAGAAGGAGATCAGCATGATCCAGGTGAGCCTCCCACATAATCCCATCTTAGCCGTGAGATCAAAATGCCAAGAGACTGCTAGGATTTAATAGGTGAGCCTCCCACGAATTCCCATCCTAGCTGTGGGATCAAAATGTTAAGGGACGACTAGGATTTAACAATATTAGTATCATATTGTAATCTATGCTCAATTGCCATTTATCATAGTTTTAATGTATGACATATTTAACCTAATTCTTGTATAATTCGCACACAATTGTGCATCACCTTTATTCTTAAAAATAGAAACCAACACACTTCTTCTCTACTCATCTAAAATCTTTTGTCTTCAAATAAATATCTAAAAAGACTTTTTACATCAAGAACTAGCTTTAAGCCCATATCCTTTTGCTTTAGTCATGGAATTTCTTACTATATATTTGCAATAGGATGTACCCTACTGCATGCTTTTTGCTGATGATATTATTCTTGTTGATAAGACTAGAAAGGGAGTTGAAGGAAAACTTGAATTATGGAGGTCAACCTTAGAGTCTAAAGGTTTTCCTTTGAGTAAATCTAAAACCTAATACATAGAGTGCAATTTTAGTAGTAATAGATCTAGTGGAGGATTGTGACTTTGGACAATCAAGTAATTAAAAAGAGTACACGTTTTAGATATCTCGATTCTATTGTTCAAAGTGATGGTGAAATAGATGGGGATAATATTGGTAAAATTCAAGTTGAATGGTTGATGTGGAGGAATGCATTGGGCCTACAATGTGATAGAAAAGTACCCTCAAACTTATAGCAAAATTCTATAAGATAGTGGTGAGACATGTAATGCTTTATGACACAAAATGTTGACCATTAAAAGAGAAGTATAAAATTAAGTTAAGTGATACAGAGATGAGGTGCTCAGGTGGATGAGTGGCTTTACACTTAGAGACAGAATGTGAAACAAGTATATACGTGAAAAAGTTGGAGTAGCTCCAGTGAGAAATAAGATTAGTGAGCCGTCTTAGATGGTTTGGTCACATAAAATATCAGCCTTTTGATGACCCCATTAGGAGTAGATGTATTAGATCTAGCCAATGTTAAGAAAGGTAGAGGTTGACCTAAAAAAGACTTTGTTAGAGAATATTAAAAATGATCTTTTTTTATTAGAGTTAAATGAGAATTTGACTCTTAATATAACACAATAGCGAAAAATGATTCATGCAGCTGAACCCCACATAGTGGGATAAAGGCTTGACGTTGGTATTGTAATAACAGAAAAAAGCAGAGTACGTGGATGAATTATTTTCAATGTCTTTGGCAATGTAGTAATTTACATTAGTTAATTTATCTTTCTTCGTGATACAAGCTAGAGCTATAGGTATTTATGGAGTGATCCATGGTATCTGAGGTTAGATGTGGAATTCTACAAAAACATGCAGATTATTGACCGCTCATAGTTCGAAATTTCTGAAAAAGTACCTTCAAACTGCTTGTACGAGTTGCATCTTGATTGGTATATCAACTTTTGCATTCAAGGTCCATCCAATTCAAGCAGCCCTGAAAAAAAACCATCCTGAATAAGAACCATTACATTAAAAGAATAGGGCAGCTTGTAGCTTCAGCTTTAACTCTATTGACGTATGAAGATATATATGATGCCAAGAGTCAACAATTAAGCAACAAAATAGTAAATGGATAAAATATAAGATGTTGCAGTAGTCGACATATCACCTCAGACTGGGAGTGGAAGGAGAGTTTCCTGTGCTGAAGGATCCTCGCCTTCAACATCCATCCAATCCAGCTTTGGGCCCTATAGTAGAAATTTCCACGAAATAAGAACGCAGATGTCCTCCAAAAAATTCATATTCATAATTCATTCGACGCTACATTATTATCTCAGTCGACCAAAGTTTCCATGATTGAAGAAAGAATAGTCACTCATAACTCGTGCACAGAGTAAAATATTATCATAAAATCAAATGAGCTCATCAAGTTTACCACGATCAAAGGCTGAATTGTGTTATCAATTAGTCAAACTACTAATCTTTTTTTGTTTGTATATTTAGCAGCATTAAGCTACAACTAAAATAAGCTCAGTTTATAGTAAGAATATTTTTTATTGAGGGAATTCAAACACTTTACATAATACAAGCAATTGCATCAACCACTCTGTAGGAAAAGTGATGTAGGATCCTGCACAAATGGTTACTAGCAACAAGAAGAAATTCCAATGGAACAGTAAAAACTTGTATAGACTTCAAAAATTGCTACAACCTCTTCTTCTCCTACCTTAAGCAACCTTTCTCTCCTGTGAAACTATGCTAAAAGAGACTACCGAAATTAAAAAGGAGCACATGTGCTCAAAACGGCCTAAAGCAGCAATAAAGTGGAATATTCTAACTAACTAGTCAAGTGGGGTAAGATGATCCTCAGGCCCAATTAATAACGATGCTCCGCATCACACGCCCCTTCCACCAGAAGAGCTGACGGGTGGGTCTTCTGCGGCGGTGCAACCGTCATCAGGTGGACGATACTGAAAGAGATCTGCGACATTGAACGTGTTGGGAGTGTTGAATTCAGCTGGAAGCTCGACGACATAAGCATTGTCGTTTATGCACTTCGTGATTGGAAAAGGGCCGAACTTCCGCTTGCCAAGTTTCGAATATGACCCTGCAGGTAGCCGCTCCATCTTCATCCGGACCATAACTAGATCCCCGGTTTTGAACAATTTCTTCCTCCGGTGTGTATCTGCATCCAGCTTGTACTTGGCGTTCGCATTGATCAAATTCTGACGGACCTTGGCGATCAATTCCGAAAATTGATCGACCCAACTGGATGCCACTTGGCTCTTGCACTTCGGAATGACTGCAACATCAACGGTAGAGTTGGGCATTTTAGTATATACAATACCAAATGGACACATACCAGTAGAGCGATTTGGCATCGAAATGAAAGCGAACTCCGCTTGGCCGAGGACTTCGTCCCACAGCTTGGGATGGTCTTGAACGATACATCTCAGCAAATTTCCCAATGTACGATTCACCACCTCGGTTTGACCATCCGTTTGAGGATGGTAAGGAGAGCTAAGTTGAAGTTGAGTGTTCAATCGTTTCCATAATTCTCGCCAAAAATGGCTAATAAACTTAACATCTCTGTCGGATGTTAGGCTACGAGGAATGCAATGTAATCTGACGATCTCTCTAAAGAAAAGCTTCGCTACGTTCAATGCATCAAAGGTCTTCTTACAAGCCACAAAATGGGCCATTTTAGAGAACCTATCAACAACCACCATAATCGAATCGTTTCCCTTCTTGGTGCGTGGCAATCCCAGGACGAAGTCTAAACTCAAATCCTCCCAAATGGAGTCGAGGACCGGTAAGGGCTGATATAGCCCCGTGTTTTGTCCACCACCTTTATAGTTCTGGCATATGGAGCATCTCTCTACAAATTTAGTAACATCCTTCTTCAAATGTGGCCAAAAGAACTTGGTTGTCATCTGTAAGATGGTTTTATCCCGTCTGGCGTGAGCTGATAATCCCCCTCCATGTATTTCTCAGATAAGGTGTTGTCTCCATGAAGACTTGGGTACACATAACAGGTTTCCCTTAAATAGGAAACCGTGTCGAATGGAAAAGTCTTCTACTGGCTCCTTGTTAAGCATTTCCGCCAAACAACAGCAAAGTTGTCATCTTCCGGGTACAATTCTTGTAAGCACTCTAGTCCCACAAACTCAGCCTGTAGTTGAGTTATAAGAATGGACCTGCGGCTTAACGCGTCTGTCACGCGATTTTGAGCTCCACTCTTGTGCTTTAACACAAATGTGAACTTCTGTAGAAATAATACCCACCTCGCATGCATCCTGTTAATGGTTTTCTGAGTGTTGATGTACTGCAGCGCTTTGTGATCGCTACAGAGAATGAAATCCTGGTGCAACAGGTAGTGCTCCCATTGCTTAAGAGCTCGAACAACCGCATATAGCTCCTGCTCATAGACGGACCACCTCTGGCGGGCTTCTGATAACTTTTCACTAAAGAACTCAATAGGCCTGTTGTCCTGTGTCAGCACGGCTCCAACTCCCACAGTCGAAGCATCTGTTTCTACCACAAACGGTTTGTCAAAATCTGGTAATGCCAATACTGGAGCAGAAGATAAGGCCTCTTTGATAGTGTCGAAGCTCCTCTATTGTTCCTTCCCCCACCGAAATTGCTTCAGTTTTAAAACATCAGTTATTGGGGACAAGATAATGCTGAATCCTTTAATGAACCTCCGGTAGAAGTTCGACAATCCATGGAAACTTCGAATTTCTGTAAAGGATTTCGGATTAGGCCAGTTGACAATTGCCGCTAGCTTTCTCGGATCCGCACTGATGCCTGCTGCGGAAATCCTGAATCCAAGGAATGAGACGATATCACGAGCGAACTCGCACTTGGAGATGTTTAAATAAAGCTTATTTTGCCTCAACACTTCACATATATCCTTCAGATGCCCCAAGTGTTCATTCTGGTTTTTACTGAAAACCAAAATGTTGGCGAAATAGGCTACACGGCACTTATTCAAGAACGGTTTCAAGATTTCATTCATCAGTCTCATGAAGGTTGAGGGGCCATTACACAGCCCAAAGGGCATTACCCTCCATTCATACAAGCCTTCTCTCGTTTTGAATGCTGTCTTCCATTCATCTCCGGGCCGAATCCTTATTTGATGATATCCACTGCGAAGCTCTAGCTTGGAGAATAATTGAGACCCAACCAACCTTTCCATCATCTCATCGATCCTCGGCATTGGAAATCTGAACTTGACCGTGATCTTATTGATTGCTCTGCTGTCAATGCACATTCGCCAGCTTCCATCATTCTTCGGCACCAATAAGGTGGGTACCGCACATGGGCTCAAACTATGCTGAATGAGTTGTTTGTCTAAGAGCTCATCAACAATCTATTGTAAAATTTTATGTTCAGTGGGACTCATCTTTTAGTGTGGGATGTTTGGCAAGGTGGCGCCTGGAATGAAGTCAATTTGGTGTTGAATTGTCCTGATCGGCAGCAATTCGGTAGGTAGTTCACTTGTGCAAATATCAGCAAATTGCTGAAGCAATTGTCTTACTTCACTAGGCACTTCAGGCCGGTCACCCGTGGCGGTCTGCTCCTTCACCACTAAAGCCATCATCTGTAATGACTCCTTCCACGAGCTTAAGAGAGTGTTCCCGGGTACCACAAACATAGCAACCTTGTCCGGAACAGGATCCGGGTCCCTGTTTTGAGATTCCGGCACCAGTCGTAGCTTCCTTCCCCTCCATTCGAACGTATATGTGTTCGTCCTACCTTCATAGACTACGCCCACGTCGAATTGCCACGAACATCCCAAAATGATATGGCATACATCCATATCGATCACATCGCATAGAACCTCGCTTGCATAATGCTTTCCAATAGAGAATGAAACTCTGCACATATCCGTGACTGACATCTCCAATCCTTTTTTTACCCAACTAATTTTGTAACGATTGGAGTTCTTCGTTGTCTTGAGCTGGAGCGACTGAACCACTGCTTTCAAAATCACATTCTCCGTGCACCCGCTATCAATCAAAATGCTGCAGACCTTTCCATTAATGGTACACTTGGTCTTGAAGAGCGCATTCCTCTGTGAATTGCTAGGCTGTCTCGGTGCCAGGAGCAATTTCTGTAGTACGCACACAAGGGGTTCACCGTTGTCCCCTTCTACTTCTTCGATTGGCTCTTCTTGCTTGTCTTCCGTGTCCTCCATCCCGTCTTCATTCTCCACTTCTAGCAGCTGTAATTGGCCTCTAGTTGGACATTCATTTGATTTATGACCTTGTTGAAAGCACCTAAAACATTTGATAGTGGAAGGCTTGGCGTAGGGATTGTCTTTGGCTGGACCTTTAAACTTATAATTCGCCTTCACTTCTTCGTTTTTGTTGGGTGCCATTGGAGGAGCGGGATTTGCAGAATGAGTAGCTATTTGCCTGTTAAATGAGTTAGGCATAAAATTACTCATTCGGTTCGGGTCACTTACAGATTCTGTAGTCCGCCGGTTTTGGCTAGTTCTTTCATGCCTTGATTGCTGCATCTCCACCTTCAGGGCATAATTTACGGCTTGTGACAGCGACCATACTGCATTCAGTTCCAGCTTGTCCTGTATTGACTCTTTCAACCCCCCGACATAGCGAGCCACCAATTGATTTTCGGACTCATTCAGGTTGTTCCTGGCACTCAACCTGTAAAATTCTTCCGTATAGTCGTTAATGGATCGACTGCCTTGTACACAATGCTGATACTGCATATAAAGCATATGCTCGTAGTCTGTGGGAAGGAAGTCTCCTCGTAGCAGTTGTTTCATCCGGAACCAATTGCGCACCGGTCCTCTGCCATCCCGACGCCTTGATTGCAACAACTGCAGCCACCACGCGCTAGCCCCCCCTTTGAGCCGACACGCCACATATTTCACTTGTTTCTCAGGTTCTACCTCCATGTATTCGAAGAATGTCTCTACCGCCCTCTCCCAATCCAAATAATCCTCTATCTGTAGTTTGCCATCAAAAAATGGAATGTTCATTTTAACTCTGAACTCACTGTTATGTATGTCCTGCTCTCTCGGCCTCCGTCGCCGCTGCATTGTCATCTCTTCATCTGAATCTGATAACTCCATTGCTCTAAACTGCTCCATTCTTTCGTCGGAATCGGATGCGAACGCCTCTGGCTGATGGTGCCGAGGGTTCCGTCTCTCACCGCACCTCCTCTGGATCGCCGGTATGGTTGCTGGCTAACCCAATCTCGGCTCGAGATTGCGCTCTAATAGAGCTCGGATATCTCTCAGGTCGCGGCGCATTTCATCGGAAAAGCGACAGAATTCCGTCGTGAGCTCGTCCGAGTGCTTCACCAAACCGGAGTGTTCAGCCCAAAGGGCTTCCAGGCTTCTTTCTTCCACGGCAGCCACCCATTTGCTGCCTTTCGCCATTGTGGCTCTGATACCAAACTGATGTAGGATCATGCACAAATGGTTACTAGCAACAAGAAGAAATTCCAATGGAACAGTAAAAACTTGTATAGACTTCAAAAACTGCTACAACCTCTTCTTCTCCTACCTTAAGTAACCTTTCTCTCCTGTGAAACTATACTAAAAGAGACTACTGAAATTAAGGAGCACCTGTGCTCAAAACGGCCTAAAGCAGCAATAAAGTGGAATATTCTAACTAACTAGTCAGGTGGGGTAAGATGATCCCCAGGCCCAATTAATAACGATGCTCCGCATCAAAAAGGTAAGAATAACTAAAATCATATGGTTGTATGCCACATCGAGAGGATGACTAGTGTTAGAGTGTTATCACAAGAAGTAGTAGATCAGATAGGAACAAAGGATAAGGGGAACTAATAGCTATGGCAAGGATGACTATGAGGCGCTTTTGCATGCTATCACCAGGCCTTTCACTATAAACAGAGACCAGATGACTAGCTTGTATTTGGTTTTAAACATCCACAGTCATGAAAGAAACAAAATTAACAAATTATGATAACCAAGGAAAGAAGAGCGGTTAATCATATCCTGTATAACTCTCAAAAACATTTGACCGTCTACCACAAGGACTCTCTTCCGTAATCTTACAAAAATTTACCAAATTCAAAGGGCATAAAATGTACAAGGTCATTAGGTTAATGCAACCATAGGGCAGTGGTTTCTTGATTGAAAGTTTCTCTTATTAAAAAGTGAAGGAAAACAAAGTGTGAGTAACAAGGTTGTGATTATCAAGACTAGCAATTTAATTTCAATCAAACCTTGCTAAAAGTTCAAAACGGAGATAAATGACCTCACCTTTCCCAGCCGAATAATTGTTGGAGGACTTATTGTCATATCAACAACCGTGGAGGGATCTGCCACTCGTATGCCGCCATCAACAAGAAAATCCAGACCCTATATGTAAGGATCAACAATTAAACTCCTAACAAGATCTGTGGATCGTTCTCGCTGATTTCATCATGATAGATTTTATTTGAGAATTCCAACTATTTCCTAACACTTTGCTATGAGTCAGAGCACACTATATGTAAGGATCAACAATTTAACTCCTAACAAAAACCCATTTTTCTACATGTTGCGCTCATACAAAGTGTTAACACGTTGCAAAAGATATGATTAGGGTAAAAAAGTAGAAAATGTCAACATTCATACCTCCGGCTCATAAATATCAGCTATCATTACAGGGTCAATCATCCACTGGTTTTCTGCAGGACACTTCACGCTAAGGCATGACACATTCCATGATCATCATTAGTATAAAATAAAGTGAAAAGGAGACAACACATACAGATTTCCTTCAAATGAAATTCACACAATTAAAGAATTTATTTACAAGAAAGAGCAATTCTAATTCAAGGCCGAATGAAATTCCAACAAACCTTGTGCTTATCAAAGGTGCATCCAGATTTTTTAATATGGTCTGGCAAATTATGTCATCAGGTATGCGAACACCGACATGCTTCCTTGATGTATATTTTGCACTAGGGCCACTCCTAATACATTGTTTTGGTAACTCTTTACTAGCAGGTAGTATAAAGGTATACTGTAAAAAAGTGAGGACTGTTAAAAGTAAAGCGCCTCAAATTTATGAAGTAAAAAAGGTCTAGTCAAAATCAACATAATGGAAAAAAGATACTTACAGGCCCAGGCAGACAATGCTTGACAGCTCTAAATATATTTGTCTGGCCATAGGCATTGCCCCGAGGGAAGCCTGTCGTATATATGTCTATGTCTTGTAAAGAACGGCACAAGATACTAAGGGGCTGGATGAGTACAAAGATCGCTCAGAAAAAAACTTAGTACTTTGTAGTTTTAATCGGTAAATGAAAATAACTAATATGCATTATAATTTAGCAGTTTTATCACGTAACAAGTATCAAGTAATAGTACTTGCCTTTGAATTCCCCACACCTTTGATTCTGCAGGTGAAAAAAATAAATGAGAAAAACTTGAAGGATGTTTAAGTGCAAGAATTAGAGAGAAATCTAAACTTAACAAGCGGAACTGTAATAACAGAATGGATACATAGAAAACCTAAAAAGAAGATATACCTTCGAAGACGTTCAATAGAGGAGTAATTTCGCAAATCACAAACAATAGCATACCTGAAAAAACAATAGTAACCAAAAAATCAATATCTTGTATGTAACTACAGCTATCGTATGGTGTTAAGTAGAAGCTGAATTAGGATTTCAAAGAGGCACAAAAAAGAGCTTACCCAAATTTTTTTAGAAGGGGGGAGGGGAGTCTCTATAATATAGATAATTGCAAGAGAATTCCTAGGCAAAACTTCCAAATTCTACAAAGTTACATTGAAAAAATCTAGGGGGCGACAGTCAACCATAAGCTCCCTCTATTTCCACTATTAATGGTAACTACTGTAATTTTTTGTGAGGCTCAGAATTTGATTCTCTCTTATCTTTATTTTTTATTCAAAATTATAAAAATCTCTATTTTGAGTGATGTTTTTATATCGAACACAAACATTGAAAAAAATTAAGGAATTATCCATTTATGTGAGGCTCTCTCTCTCTCACCAAAAACTAATCCCTCTCACCTAATCTCTAACCTCCCCACTCCTCCCCAGACATTCACTCCCATCATATAACATTAATTACCAAGGGCCCTTCTTATTGTTGGTCCGATTCATGAAGATTTTTTCTCACTCAGGGTGAATCACAAGGGGCTGAAATCAAACAAATCAAAAGTAAAAAGGAGAGCATGAGATAAGGTGATCATCAATATCATCAAATTACTATCAAATCATTTATTCTTCTAGAACAATATGATCAAAAAATTTTGTTGTTTTGAATAAGAATTATGAGTTCATAATTCTAGAAGATATAATCTTACATAGTTGCGATAGGGCTAAGTATCCTTGATATATTATACAGAACAATTAAAGTGCAGATGTTTGGATATTAAGATAAAGAAGTGCTGCAAGAGTATTGTCTGCTAAGAGAATATTGTGAACAATTAAAGAAAATTTTTATAATTTTTTTATTGAACTAGTTATACCATACGAATCTAAGTGTTAGATAACAAAGAAGTTGCACAGAGCCAAATTAAGCATGGTGGAAGTGAATGGATGTGTAGCAAAATTAAAAATAATAAATAAAAAAATGATTATTTAGCAGGGACAGTGGGAGTAACATCAAATGAAGATAAAACATTTGTTATAGCACTAATGAGTCTCCTGCTATAAGTCGTAGATATTGCATTTTGTTGCAATTCTTCTACATTTGTTATAGCCTTTTTTGCATTTTTGCTTGTAGATTGCAAGTAGTGCATATAGCAGGTTTCTTAAAGCAGCTTATAGGAGCTTGTGTATGTCGCAGTCCTGCTCTTTATGTATTGATTGCATGTTGCTACCCATCGCCCGTAGGTATGCTATTGTATGGTTGAGGAGTCTCTTACAATGATTTGTGGAAGATCATGCGCTCTACAAGTATGTTAATTGTTACCCTTGTTTATATGCAATATACACGTAGCTTGTTGCATTTCTTACATGTCTTTTTTGCTTCATTGATGAATATCCCCTTTCAATTTTATTGCATACGAAATTGAGCATGCTTTCTTGTATTTTGATACCGCCTGCAGGCGCTATCATATTGACAGGGGATATTCATGCTTTCTTGTATTTTGATACCGCCTGCAGTTAAGTGGCACTGATAGCAGGCGGTATATAAATGTGTTCGCATGCAGAACGTGAGGAGTTCCCTATATATATGTGGTTTCTCTAGGGAACTCCTCACGTTCGCAGCATGTCTTTTATCATCGCTTGTGGGAAAATATGTGTTCACATGCAGTTAAGTGGCACTGATAGCAAAGGGGAGTGTCTTCTTCGCAACCACCTTACTTTGCTTGTAGACATGTTATATCTCTTGCATGACATTCGTCATCGCTTGCAAGCTTTGATGTGCTTGATTGAATATAGGTGCTATATTTATTGCACCTCTTCCACATTCTGATCATGAACACATCACGATGTACATTGCATTCATCTTACCTTCGTTCATGAGTGGACCACTGCAATTGTTGCCATCACTTTAAATCATCCACATACACAATTAGGGTAGATATATGAATCAATTATAATCATGTCATGTTGAAATCCACAAGTCCCTTGCTTAATCATCGATATTCATTTGCATAATCAAAATTGCTATTTAATGTTTATGTTTTCAGTACGATTATGTATTCATTGATTTAATGTCTGGTTTCCTATATATGTTCAAATTCAAGTTCAGTTTGTCGTCATTTGTTCAATGTTAAGTCCCCTGCGTCATATTTAAGTTTAATTCTTTTGCACATGGTTCAAATTCAAGTCCATTGTGGTTCAGTTTTAGATCTCTGTTCACCAGAATTTTCGACAACCTCCCGACGTCTCTCCAGTTTAGGGGAAATTTTATGAGTTTGGACTTTCCTACCACGCTAGAGAAAAGCGTGAACAGTATGTATTGGATGACACCACGGCCTTAAATCTTCAATCCCACCACGCCAGAGAAAGGCATGTATAGGTCTTCGGGGTACCTGTTTAAAATATGCAATAGCTTTCCCGGTAGGAATTGAGGCGCGTACGGGTACTTAGAAGTGTCCCCGCCACGCTACAAAAGAGTGTATAGGGCCTACCCGTCTCGTCGTAAGCGTCGCACCGGGTTCCCTTCCCACCACGCTAGAGAAAAACATGTATAGATAATTTTTCGTAAGCGGGTACATGGCCTACCCGGCCGGAGGAGCTTGTTCGTGTGTGAAAAGGAAAAAAATGAAATTCACTTCGTTTTCTTTTTAACAAAGAGGCCGAGAGTTGTTAGTCGCAAGATTTGAACAGGAAACGTGCACGCATGGAATGGGGGACTACGGCCTATTCAGAAACAACGCCGAAATGTCGAACTATAGGGTATGGGCACTATAGCAAGCGAATTTCAGCAAGATTTGCACATGTATGTTTTTTTTTTTTTGGGATTTAAGTAGAGATCAACAAACCTTAAGAGCCTTTACCATGAATACATGCATGAATAGTGTCAGCGTCCAAGGTTGTTTATGCAGTCTCAGGAATGAGATGAATGTGATCACACACACCAATGAGCGGGCATTATCTGCACCGGGATGAGCACATAAAAGTTCAATATCTTAGAGAACTCCCTGGAGAATGGCAGCTACAATCCTAGCTTGAAATGGTTGCAGGGAATGCAAAGCTCGTCTTAGTAAAATGAGTTGAAGTACTCATCCTCGCTGGGTGCACTCACTTGTAGGTTTATATCATCAGCGTAGTACCAACATATGTCATGTCAGCGTAGTTTGTAGTCACCTTCAATCCCTATAGGTAGTCAACATCAGCAAATGCATTAGCGCATTTGTAAACAGTTGCGATCTCACTCACAATCACTCGCACTAACAGTCGAACAAAGGAAGAAAGACAACAAGTGTAAAGCAAAAGGTAGCGCCCCTCATGCCCAACCAAGGGATTATTTATAGGGGAGTTAATAATGCCCCAAATAGTGCTCATATCTTCATCATTACCATAAGATTCAACACATTTTTCTCACTCACCCTCATGCGAGGTTGTCATTACCAAAAACATTGGAAGCTACCCAAGCCTAGAAAGCAGAGCAGTCAACTTTGTCCCATCTCGTGAGGAATCAACAACGCGCCTTGTTCCTCATTAAGAACATTCACCAACTCACCACATACAGAATTAAACTCAACTCACCATACCTAAGGTTATCCCTAACTCGCCTCAACAAACAATTAAAAAAGCTAAGGCAACAACTTGCAATCACTAAGGATTACCAATAAAAACGAAACGTATTCAACATACATGACATTGTGCCATCACCATAACAAAATAAACAAGATAAATTAAAAAATAAATAAATAACACAAATTTGCCATAAAGGTACATAACGAAGCTAAATTTATGTAAATAATAAAAAAGAGAGAAAAAAGGGATGAACCATTTTTCTACCCACTAAAAATTTTACAAATATGATCTAAAACTGACTCGAGAGCTAGCATTCCCTTCTGTACTAAATAATGTAGAAGGAAGCATCCTCATGTAACGAACTTAGACGATCTCAATGCCTCCACAAGATGGTGAGTAACCACCATCTTCACCTAAAGCACGCCATCTCCTGGCAAAGTGGGATATCATTGTCTTCGCCAGCTGCCTTCTACAAGATCCTGAGTCCTTCATCGAACGCGCCTTGAACATTGAGGATCTTCTTCATCGAACTAATGAGCTCAACGAGGCCTTCCAAAAATTAGATTGCCAAGTGAGGTGAAGAAAGCATGGACTCCAACAGTCACCACGAGATGAGTCGCATAAGGTTCTTAACCTAAAAGCAAAAGCACAATCACTTCAACATCAACGTCCTTGCCCTACAAAAAATCATCTCAACCGCCACTAGAGATGGTGCTCGTTGTCTTGCAGTATTCGCTGCCAAAGGAGCCACTCCTATGGTACATAGTGAAGAATCAACATGTAAAACCAGGAATTCATCATTTGAGTGTGTCGCACGCATATCAATGCGCCGCGACGAACTTAAGTGTCGTCGGAATTTGACGAAATAAATTTTATTAAATTCGTTACAAAATTTCGATCGAAACAGTATAAAAAACTTATATCCAATTTCGCACGGTTTTGAAATTAAAATTCGTCGAAAATCGTTTAAGTAAATTTTGGCTAGATCTTCCATTTTTACCCCTAAGATCTCTCAAGAGAAATGAGTATGGTGTGGACCTCCGAAAGAGCACCGCGCGAACGGGTCAATTGAAAGGGACAGATTGGATCGTGCATACGACTAACCATTGAGGATAGCGGCTCTCATCAGCGCACCCGAATGGGTAGCAATATACACGACCTAATCATGGGTTTCCCCCGTCCGATACAACAATTCGAATGGAGTTTAGTAGATGTGGGGCCAAGTTTCCCACGGGCGCAAGCCCCCGTGGTTAATTACATCTCAGGATGGAGCCTGAAAAAACTCTTGATTAAGAATCATACATTATCCCTTCCCAAAGTGGGATTGGCACAGGGGTGTAGACTACAAAGTCCTATCCAAAAGGAAGAAAGGTCCAAAGGGCTCAGTCAACATGCGTGGCT